CCGGACCTGAAAAGTAGGTCCGGGTCAAAATTTAAAAATTTCTTATAATTTTTGACCGTGTCGGGCCAGTTAGCTTAAAACAAGAAAACAAGCCGGACTTAAACGTTGAGCTCCGCGCCTGTGCTGTGCGTGCCTGTTCACCCCTACCTTTAGCTGATAGAGGGGTATTGGTGATGGGAATGTACTTACAGAATGCGCCACAAGTTCTGTTACACGGTTTTTTAATAAAATATATATTTTTACAACAAATATAACTAAAACAACAACTAACAATAGCAACATATAGTACTAGTTATAACATAGTCAATCTAACACAGAGAAAACGACCGGTAAAGTTTTGTAACAGGACTTGTGGCGCACCCTGTATAAAAGAGGGCAAGATAAGGTACGGTGTAGTATGGTTCGAGGAGGGTAATACAAGTTAAAGCAAGCTATGTTAAGGTAAGAGGAGAGCAGTATGAAAGAAAATGTTTCAAAGATTACTTACAAATTTAAAATTTAAAGTATATATCCGAGCAGTGCACGTGGTCTACTCTTTTCTTCTTATTATATATGTACTACTAATGTTTTACAAGTGCATGCTAAGTAAAATAAAAAAAATATATTTTGCACATTTTTCTTTTTTTCCCAAGTTTTATACGTTTTTTGAACTAACCTAACTTGATTTTGCTAGCCATACCCTATTTGTACCTTTGTAATGTTTTACTTTTCTCCAACCTTTACTTTATGCATACCTTGTTGTAGTTACTTTTATCATAGCTTTGTTTGTCGTATTTTACTTTGAATTTGATTTTACGCGTTAAAATTTGTATCATTTTTATCAGTTTTTAATAATAATTTTTATTTACTTTCAGAGACGTTTTTGTCCCCAAATCCTCAAAGTGCAACACGTACCGTATAATAATGTAGTTCTTGAGTCATTATTTTTGCAAGTATTAACACTTTTTGTTATTTCTTTATTAACTTACTCATGCACTACTAAATTGTTAACTTATAGTACGTAGGGGGTTAGTGATGCTTTATAGTGAAAAAGTGACAAATCTCACGTTTGGTAGAGAATGATTTTGCTTTAGCTCTAGTCCAGAGCCTTAGCTTAGAGCTCTAGCCCAGAGCTCTAGCCCAGAGCCCTAGTCCAGAACCTTAGCTCAGATCCCTAGCCCAAAGCCCTATCCCAGACATTTAGCCCAGAGCCCTAGACTAGAGCCAGCCCCATAGCCCCACAGCCCCATAGGCTCTTAGCCTCCTAGCCCCCTAGCCCCCTGGCCCCCTAGCCCCCTAGCCCCCTAGCCCCCTAGCCACCTAGCCCCATAGCCCCATAGCCCCCTAGCACCCTAGCCTCCTAGCCCCCTAACCCTAGCTTTAGCCCTTAGTTTTAGTCCTTGAGACCTTGTCTTACAGTAAAACTATGTAAGTCATAGCATCAACTTTGTAACTACCACTACAAGATATATGATCTTATAGTACCTTGTAAGATCATATAACTTATATGGTCTCTCTTAACCACAAACTTATACCAAGAAAACGATGACATAAGCCACTTCCTATTGTCTCTAACTCTTACTATGAATAACATATCCCTCCCCAAGCCCTACTGAAGCGTTAAGGACAGTAAATTACATCAACCAACTAATCCCAAAGGACCGTCATGTGTAATATTATGGGTGTAACTTTGTTTTAATCCCAAAAGGTAGATTACATTTTACAATTACTACGGCCTGGATTTAACAGGCAGTAATGTTTACTTTGGCTATCGGGTTTTTGAAGGTTTTTCGGGAAGAAACTTTATTTACAGGGTTAAGGTAAGGGACTGGTAGAAAAAGAATGTAAAGGAGAGGAATGAAAGAGGAGGATGGTTAATAAGAGGGAGGGATAAATGAAAAAAAGCGAGCGGGTTTGAGAAAAGGGTGAGTTGAAGGGGTAATTGAAAAAAATATCGGGGAGAAAGAGTAAATGTTAATTTTTTTATTTTTTAAAAATTTGACAAAGAATAGCAAGAACTTTCTTTACAAAACAAAAAATGGCAAGAACTTTCTTTACAAAACAAAAAATGGCAAGAACTTTCTTTACAAAACAAAAAATGGCAAGAACTTTCTTTACAAAACAAAAAATGGCAAGAACTTTCTTTACAAAACAAAAAATGGCAAGAACTTTCTTTACAAAACAAAAAATGGCAAGAACTTTCTTTACAAAACAAAAAATGGCAAGAACTTTCTTTACAAAACAAAAAATGGCAAGAACTTTCTTTACAAAACAAAAAATGGCAAGAACTTTCTTTACAAAACAAAAAATGGCAAGAACTTTCTTTACAAAACAAAAAATGGCAAGAACTTTCTTTACAAAACAAAAAATGGCAAGAACTTTCTTTACAAAACAAAAAATGGCAAAAACTTTCTTTACAGCTCTAAAAAGTTCAAAAATACTTTTAAAATGAAGTTTTTTTAAATTGCGAAAACTTTGTTTACAACCCCAAAAGAATTCAATTTTCATATAAAATAGGAGGATTTGGAAAGTTCAGTAACTTTGTTTACACTAAATTAACATAGTTTTTGTTTATTTAAATCATATTTTTTGCAAGGTGCAGAAACTTTGTTTACAGATGAATGTCTTTTATATTTTTTTTTGTTTTTTGGAAAAAGCAGAAACTTTCTTTACAAATTTTTTTATGGTTTTGCCCTGGCCTTGCCCTGGCCTTACCCTGGCCTTGCCCCGACCTTGCCCTGGCCTTGCCCTGGCCTTGCCCTGGCCTTGGCTGGGCTCAGCTTGGCTTGGCTTGGCTTGGCTTGGCTTGGCTTGGCTTAGCTTAGCTTGGCTTGGCTTAGCTTGGCTTGGCTTAGCTTGGCTTGGCTTAGCTTGGCTTGGCTTAGCTTGGCTTGGCTTGGCTTGGCTTGGCTTGCCTTAAAGTAGTTTATAAAGAATCTTTCTTTACAATTTTTTTAATTTTTAAAATTTTTTCTAATTTTTAAATTCCGCAAGAAATTTCTTTCCACGCGACTAAAACTTCCTGTAACATTCTCAGAATCTACTGCCATTTACCCTACTACAAAGTAATTTACTGCTACAATAATTTTGTTTTGAATTTCCCTGTCTGACAGTAATGTATGTATATAGGATGATGAATAATATATAATAATGTGGAACGATGGTGAGCGTGTTTTTGCTATCTTGGAATATATCTGGGAGAATAGTAAGATCTACTGCATTTTTACTTCGTATTGAATTGAAGATACAGTGGAAGTAATATTGTACTTCCTTTTTCGAATCAGGAAGATGTAAGAGTATTGTAGGCTGTAAATTACTTTACCACCTTTTTTGTACTGAGTATTTTTTTACATTGACTGCTGTTTTACCTTCTTTTAGTTATTGCGTTTCACTTTACTTGCTTTTACCTTGTTTTACCCATTCTTATTACATTACCCTCCCTTTGTTTAGTCAACTAGCCTTATTCTACCTTAAACTGTCTGTTGTAGCTCACCGTATCTTTAAATTCGCTTGCTTTTACCAAAAACGGCAAGAACTTCCTTTACAAAACAAAAAGTGGCAAGAACTTTCTTTACAAAGCAAAAGTTGCAAGAACTTTCTTTACAAAGCAAAAAATGGCAAGGACTTTCTTTACAAAACATAAAATGGCAAGATCTTTCTTTACAATACAAAAAATGGTACTCAGTTTTATTAATTTATTTTACCTTCTTTCACCCAACTTGCCTTATCCTACCTTAACTTAGCCGTTTTACTAGGTTTTACTCTCTATACTGGCTCTATCCTTCTTAATCTTTACACTTTACCCTACCTAGTTTTACTACATTATCAAACTCTACCTTTTCTATCTTACTCTACTTCCTCTCATTACCTTACTCTATTCTGTCTTAAATTTTTCGTACTTTGCTTTACTTGCTTTCATTCAACTTGCCTTTCTTTCACTTAAAATTTAAAAAAAAAATGTTGCTTTTTTACTATAATTGTGATCTCTGTAATCTCATTGTTACACTTGACATTACTTTTATAGACATTGTTCGTTCTTGAAGTAAATGTTATTTCCGTATTCGTTAAGTACGAGCTAGTTTTTACACTGACGTGTTCTGGATTTACTTTTTGTTGTTTTTTGTTTGGAGTTGTGGTATGGCGAGTAAAACAGGGAAAGGGCTTTCATAAGATCCCCTTAGGGCTAGGAAAGAAGTAGGGCATGGGTAAGGTACGTTAAAAGCTGAAAGGGCGCAAGTAGAAACTTTATTAGGTACTGACATAAAGAACCCGCCATACTTTGCTTGCAATTTCCTGTAAAAATTGGCGGGTTCTTTATATCGGCACCTAATATAAGACGCAATTGAGGCTAGGACAAAGCTAAAGCAAGGCTAGGGCAAGGCCAGGGCAAGGCCAGGGCAAGTCCAGGGCAAGGCCAGGGCAAGGCCAGGGCAAGGCCAAGGCAAGGCCAGGGCAAGGCCAGGGCTAGATGAAGGCTTAGTCAAGTCTAAAACCTTTAAAAGAAAAGTTATGGCGGTAACAGCACAGCCCTACCCTTATCATTGTGTTGCCATAGCTTTATAATGAAGCACTAGGGCTAAAGCTAGAGCTAGGGCGTTAAGTCTTGTAATTATAACATCTTCCATAGGTCAAAAGCCAAACATTTCAGAAACCCAAAAGAGGAAAGGAGAAGAATTCATTTTTGAAAGGCATCCGAATTATCATATTCTCCTTCTTGGCCACCTTCACTTTTGAGCATCTTCTAAATTGGCTAAGGGAGCGCGGGCTGTTTTTTGTGTTTCTTTGGGTTTGTAAAGAAAGTTTTCGCCATTTTTTGTTTTGTAAAGAAAGTTCCTGCCATTTTTTGTTTTGTAAACAGTTGTTTTTTATTTTTTGAATTTGGCGCGATTTTTGAATTTTGAATTTTTAAAAATTTTGAAATTTTTTTTAAATTTTAGTTTTTTCAGAAAATCAAAAAGAATTGATGGAGTAATCAACCACCCTGCCCTCATCTATCCCCATCAATTCAAAACCAATCCAAAATGGACGAACTGGACCAGTTGGACACGATCCGGCAGCCCTTTGGTCTTGTCATTATATACACCACCTTCTATGCCTTCGTGTTCTTACTCGGCCTAATTGGCAATGTCTTCGTACTATTGGCCATTATATGGCATCCAACCCTGAGGTCAACTACGGATTACATGATATCATCGCTGGCGTCCGCTGACTTGTTGATCATTGTGTTTTGTCTACCTACTACGTTGTTGAACAACCTACTGACTGGTGGGTTTTTTTTGATTTTTAGGTAGGGTAGGGTAAAATGTGCTGTAAAAAGGGTAGGACAGGATAAAATTAGTTGTGACTGGGGCAGGGCATGATAAAACACGTTGTACAAAGGGTACAACAATGTAAAATAAGCTGTATAATAGTTAGGCAAGTTGAAATAGGCTTCAAAAAGAGCAGCGTTAAGGGTGAGAATAGGGCCGGGCTTACTTTTTAGGCCCGGTGCAGCCCGGAGATCTACGTTTAGGCCCGTTGCAACTTTAGCTCAAGGCCAGCCAAACCGGGCCGGGCTTACATTAGACGGCCCGTTTATCACCCCTACGCAGTGTAAGACTTTGACTAGCTTAAGAAAAGGCTTGGTAAAGTTAGGGCAAACCATGACGGAGCAGAAGGTTAGTATAGGTATAGGATAAGCTTTCGATAGTATCGATATAGGGCAGGTAAGGTATGACCAAATAAAACTAAGGTAGGGCGGGTAGAAGGCCAGGAAAGGGCTAGGTGAGAACAAAACTAAGGCTAAGGCTAAGGCTAAGGCCAAGGCTAAGGCCAAGGCCAAGGCCAAGGCCAAGGCCAAGGCCAAAGCCAAGGCTAAGGCCAAAGCTAAAGCTAAAGCTAAAGCTAAAGCTAAGGCTAAGGCTAAGACTAAGGCTAGCTTTTGACCTTATTCAGGATCATAAAAAACAATACCATCTCATACGTCATAGATCGTGTTTCACAAAACATAAGCCGGGTTGTGGGTTGCACTTTAAATTTTGACGTATCAAACAGCATTTCAAGTCAGTTCAAGATAGCCGGAATCTAATTTTAATTGGGTTTAATTTGAGTTTAAAAATTTAAAATGGCTAATTTTGGAACGTTTAACGGACTAAAAGTGCAAATATTTACATTAATTTTTTGAATTCTGTGAACTGAAGTAAGATAAACTTTGGCATGGGCTTTTGGGTTTTAATCATTTTACAGTTGGGCAGGGTAAAAATGGTGCTTTTTAATTTTTTTGAAATTGGGTTTTAAGATTGCACAGTGCATTGTCATTGTTCTTTAAACCTAAGTATCAGATTCAAATTTAAAAGTAATGTAAAATACGAATCAATAAGTTTTGTTTATTTTAGAATGGCAGCTAGGAGCAGTTGGTTGCAAACTCTCAACTTTTATCAACTCCACCACCTCTTGTGCCAGTATATTCACCTTGGTCGCAGTAACAGCCGATAGGTATCTCGCCATCTGCCATACTTTAAAATATGCCATGTGGGAAGCCTCATACACATTATATGTTATTCTGGCTATATGGGTGACGTCAGCGGTGTTGGCATCGCCAAATTTGGTGTTCTACGACGAAGTCCTCTATGATCTTTTGCCGCCGAACGGCACGTTGGTGGCACGTTTGTGTGTTTCGACACAAGACGACTTTTTGCACTTTATCATTGTTAATCTTATCATTGCCTTCATTGTGCCAACCTGCTTGATCAGTGTGTCTTATGCACTGATCTTTAAAACGGTCTCGAATCATCGGAGTTTGGCGGTGGATGCGAGGGTAAGTGCCATTTTTGTTGTAGCTGGCGATGCTAAGTGGACGATAAAAACCTGTGTTAGGGGTAGGATTGAGGCTAGGTCTAGGACTAGCTATAAAGTTACAAAATTTTATTTCTTCATTTTCAGATCCGTGACGAACGTGTAAAACTACGAGTAGCTACTATGATGTTAACTGTCATTATTGTTTTTATGTTATGTTGGACGCCTTTATATGGTAAGTGTAACTAAGCAGCTATTTTTTGTTTTGTAAAGAAAGTTTTTGCAATTTTTTGTTTTGTGAAGAAAGTTTTTGCCATTTCTTGGTTTGTAAAGAAAGTTCTTGCCATTTCTTGGCTTGTAAAGAAAGTTCTTGCCATTTTTTGTTTTGTAAAGAAAGTTCTTGCCATTTCTTGGTTTGTAAAGAAAGTTCTTGCTTATTTTGCCAATCATATAAACTACAAACCTAATTTTTAAAAGTCTGTGTTCAATTAAACTTGAAAAAAATTAATCTCGAGAATGTTTTAACGGTTTCATTACAACCCCCTTAGGGCTAATATAAAACATTTATTTGTTTTTTATTACAATTAACTTCCTGTTTCATTGAAAATGTCTAAAAAACGAAAAAATAGCAAGAACTTTCTTTACAAAACAAAAAATGGCAAGAACTTTCTTTACAATACAAAAAGTGACAAAACTTTCACTCTTACCACATCATTTTATACCTACTGTAATCCACCCATAACCTTACAATAATAGGCCGTATAGCTAAATTTACATTTCCAGCTAGTTAGTCATTAATCTTCTAGCCAAAAATAACTTTTTTCGAATTCAATTTGACGTAAAAACCAAAGCTTAACCGTATTTTAGAGACAAGGGGGATTAAGAATGTCACAACAAGTGTTTGTTGACAAATTGCCTTAGGGGATAATCTACAGTTAAGATACGAAAAGTCGTGGACGGGATAGAGGAAGATGATTAGTTAAGAATACGTGAGATAAAAGGAAGATTTTGAACTTGAAATTAACTGTAGTCTTAGTTAGACTAGACTTAAGCTTAATTTAGGCCTAGTCCTAATTGTAACACTGGTTCTGGTTTTAGTTTAGCCATAGCTTTAGCTTTAGTTCTAGCTTGAGGAATAGCCTTAGGACTAGCGGTCGGCTTCTAGTTATAGGCCTATTTTAAGGTTTAGTCTTAAGTCAAGCTTTAGGCATAGCATTAGATCTAGACTTATAACTAGCTTTAAGTCTAGCCTTAGGCATAGGCTTAAGCTTGGCTGTTGGTCTAGCTTTAGAGCTAGTTTTTGTCTCACTCTTAGGCTTAGCTTTAGGCCTAGCTTTATAACTCGCTTTAAGTCTAGCCTTATGCGTAAGATTAGGCCTAATCTTAGGCCTAGACTTAGGCCTAACCATAGGTCAAGCGTTAATTCTAGCTTCAGACATTGCCTTAGGCTATTCCTTAGCTTTAGCCTTTACATATATATATAGTCTTAGGTATAATCTTAGCCATAAACTTAAGCCTAGGCTCAGGTTCAGCTCTAGGCCTATTTTTAGGTCTTGCTTTAAGCTTACTCTTAGGCTTAGCCTTAGGTCTAGCCTTAGTTTTAGCATTTTATTCCTAGCTTTAGAACTAGTTTTGATTTTAAGCTTCAGCACTAGCCTTAGCATATCACTAGTTCAATACCTATTTCTAGCTTTAGCCTTACCTTCAATTCAAGTTTTACTACTAGTTCTAAGCCTAATTCTGTACAACAAAAATATTTAAAAAATTCAAAAAAGCATGTTTTAATTTTAAAAAACGTTTTTTCACAAAACTAAATGTATCCATTTTCAGCCCTGTACTGTTACTTCTTCATGGCATCCGACAAGAACTCTGCCTTCTTCCAATTCGCCTCTTCAATCCTCCGGCCAATCTTCCAATGGCTTTCCCTCTTATCATCTTCAATCAACCCACTAGTCTACATTGGCTACTCCCAAAAGTACCGTCGAGCTTTCCACACCTTACTGTTACTGCCATGTCAAATGAAGTACAACAAGATGAGGTCGGCGACACGAACAACCTTCCGACTATCGACCGAACGGTCGAACAACGAAAAAGGGGCCATATCACCAGGCCAGACTAGTAAAAAGTACACTTTGCTGGGACCACAAAGGCGGATGACGACTAGTGTAGCAGCGTGGCCAGATGAGAACTCGAATGGTACAGCGTTGGGGTTGAGGCGGGCTAGTCAACCTCACTTCCTGACACCACCACTGCCTACGAACGGAGTTGTAGCTAATGGGAAGGACAAGAGAAGCCGGACACCACCACCCAATGTTAATGGACTTGCTACACCCAATGTTCAGTACACCATGATTAATAACAACTTTGGACCGGTTTCGCAGTGCTGACAAGAGATGTTCTATCACTACTTGACAGTGCTGTCAAGACGCTCTATTTTGATTTGGCAGTGCTGTCAAGGCATTTCTACCGGTTGAACAAGCATGACAAGGCATTTTTGATTGCCTAGTTTAGACTGTTAACTATATTCTTCGTACAAGACCGGGGTTCTTTACGCTAGCTTTACACATAGCCTTAAAACCAGCCTTATGCTTGGCTTTAGACTTTGTTTTAGGTTTAGCCTTAATAACAGCCTTAACCTCAGCCTTAAGCCTAGCCTTAAATCTAGTCTTAGGCCTAGTTTTAAACCGAGCGTTTGTCCCAGCCTTAGGGTCAGCTTTAAGCCCAGTTTTAAGCCTATCTTTGGCTCCAGCTTTGTGCTTAACCTTAGGCCTAGCCTTAAGTCTAGCTTTAGGTCTAGCTTTAATCCCAGCTTTAGACTCAGCTTTAGGCTCAGCTTTAGGCTTATCCGTAGTTCTGGAAAAAAACTGATTTTTAAGTTTTTAAAATTACTTCTAAGCCCGCTTCTAAAGCCCAGTCAGCTAAAATTAAAGCAAAAAAGTTTTTTAGTCCAGTGAAAGTAAGAGAAACCCGGTCTTGTTTCTATAAACATTACCTCAAACCGATTGTGCTACTTTACCCATATTATCATTGTAAATTTGATTACGGTGCTATGTGTCTGTATTATACATTACCTTTGTTACGGGTGTTTGCTCTTCATTATCGTTGCGTACAAATCTCAATTTTTAAATTTAAAAAAATAGAACAAAGTGATTTTGTTTAATAAAATTGTAAATTAATGCGGCAGTGATGACGTTCCGTATTTTACCATGAAAACTAAGTCGTATATAATCAAGCCTAATAAGCCTTAAGTTTGAAGCTTAAAGAATCAACGTCAAAAATAAAAAATATTTTTTTATCAGCCATAAACAACTGATAAGAAATAACTAATTAATGAAACAATAATGACCTTCTATTTGTTGAAACAATGCTGCTTTTGTCTTGTTTTACACTTTTGTGCTTCTGCTATGTAACAGCGTACACTGAAGTGTACAACAAAAATAACAATGATGACGTTAAAGTGCAAACTCAATATGAATTTGAAGTTGATTTGAATATTGGCAGCCCGGGTGAGTTAAAAGTAAAAGAAAATATTAAAGAGCCCTAGCCCAGAGCCCTAGCCCAGAGCCCAGAGCCCAGAGCCCAGAGCCCAGAGCCCTAGCCCAGAGCCCTAGCCCAGAACCCTAGCCCAGAGCCCTAGCCCAGAGCCCTAGCCCACACAAAATAGCCAATTCAGCTACACCTTATTTAACTCTAGACCTACACAAGTCCTTAAGCTATTATTAGCTAGCTACAATTTGTTTTTTACACAAGTTTTTACTTTAGCTAAACCAAGCCTTAAGCAAGCTTTATTAGAAAGATATCCAAGCCTTAGCCCAAGCCTAGTCATTATATTTATTAAGACATGATTCTAGGTCCACTCCCCATCTCTCTTCTAACTTTATTTCAGGTTTATTTGTTGTTGAAAACTTTTGTATTTTTAGCCAAACAGTACACTTTTGGAATTGATATACAATCAGAAGATTCCTGGATTTACAGTAGTTCATGTGAAGGCTTATCACATCACAGAGATGTGGATTTATATATTCCAAAGTAAACGCATGTTTTGTAGCTTAGTAAACTTAATATGTACAGAACTTAAGTTAAAAATGTTATATTATAGTAGAAACCAAGAGTATATTAAAGTAGATACTAAGGGTATATTATGGTAAAATACGTAGAGAATAGAACCTTAAACAAAAGAATTTTTAGCAACTCAAAAACCTTTAAAAACTTGTCTACAACCTTTGAAAAGACATATGACAACATTGGTAGAGCTTCACAAGTTTCTGGTTATGCCATCAGTGACAGTTTTAAAGTAAGTCTCTCATTATATCAACAAAAAATTTTTAAAAATTTAAAAACATTTTTTTTAGCTATCAAACGGTGGCACAGCTCAAAATAAGATAAATCTAATCACAAGTCTAAAATATACTGACATAACCCAAAATGAATACAGCAACTTCTACAGTGGACTGTTGGGATTGGGTGTGCCTCACAATAATAACAAAGACTGGATTGGTAACTACATGTTTACAGGCTATCGACAAGTCATGTGCCTTGGCAATGTTGGGTAAGAGCTCCTTACCCTACCCTACCCTACCCTACCCTACCCTACCCTACCCTACCCTACCCTACCCTACCCTACCCTACCCTACCCTATTCTACCCTACCTTACCCTACCCTTAGCATACTCTACCATATCCTACAATGCTTTTCTTAACTCTACCCTACTCTATCCTACCCAACCTTACTGTAAGATACATTGGCCTACACCATCCCACCCTACCCAACCGTACGATGCCTTAGCCCTGTCCTACGTTGCACATCTTACCCTACATTATATACAGTTCCTTTACCAAAACTGTAAAAAGGTTTACAGGGTGTTTCACCATATTTTGTTTGTAGAAACGAGCATTTTTCGCCAAAATACACATATTTTCGGTTGAAAATGCTTTTTTTACTTGAAATTTTTCTAATTTTTCAATTCTTTTGATACAAGCTTCAAAGTTTTAAAAACACAAAAAATTAAAAGCGTCAGTGAAGATGGGCCTGATAATTTTAAAACTAATGCTTTTTGTTTCACGCCGCTACTTTATGTTTGAAGCAAGTTATAGCCTCCGCCGATAAATTTAGGCGTCCGCCGAGTCTCCGCCAAGTCTTTGAAAACATTGAAAATGCGATTTGTATCAAAAGAATTGAAAACTTAGAAAAATTTCAAGTAAAAAAAGCATTTTCAACCGAAAATATGTGTATTTTGGCGAAAAATGCTCATTTTCAAAAATTAATGACGACCTTAAAAAGCACTTAAAAAATCCAAAATTTTGCACAAAAAATTGTATTAGTCTCTACTACCAGTGTACCAAAATTTAGAACTATAGCACATGTAGTTGCAAAGATATAACTCGTTTCTACAAACAAAATATGTTGAAACATCCTGTACTGTATTCTTTGCAGTTATCTTATTTCAGCTGTGGTTTAGCCTAGCCTTAAACATACTCTACCTCGCCCTACCCTAAAATACTTTGTCCAGCCCTACTATAACTTACCCCAAACTGCCCTATACTGAACTACAGTATCTTTAACTAAACCATACTCTTTCCTAATCTAACTCCATCACTACTTTAGCCTATGTTAGCCTCATCTTAACCCTACTCTACTTAACCCTATCAAATTTATATTTTACTTTTCAGTGACAATCTAGCCTTCAGAAGCTTCGGCTCCTTCCCGAACAACATGATGACCTACAACAACCTATCTCAACATATTATTCATCAGGAAGCGGACCTATGGACGATTAATGTTAACAAATTTCGATTCGGCAAGTACATACTAGGCAAATTCTTGTATGCTGCTCCATCTACCTTAACATCCGCCATCCTCTTACCTAATAACGTGTTTTCAATCGTTCTACGAACATTGGGAGCTTCAGAACAAAACGGTAATTACTATGTCAATTGTGATAAGAAGGACTTACCAGCGCTGGAAATTCAAGTTGGTACCACTTGGATTACTGTAACATCGGAGAGATATATCGATCGAAGCGAGGTGAGGTTTATATTCATTTTAGTTAACAAAAAGATGTTTTATCGTATAAAATGTCACCTTATGGTGCGAAAACACGTTTCATCGTATAAAGTGTCACTTTTGTACCAAAACATGTTTTATCGCATAAAATGTCACTTTCTGATAAAAAACGTGTTTAATCGTATGAAATGTCACTTTTAATACCTAAAACATGTTTCATCGTATAAAATGTAACCTTTTGGTACCAAAACATGTTTTATCATATAAAATGTGACCTTTTGATACCAAAACATGTTTTATCATATAAAATGTCGCTTTTTGTTTTTATTATATATGTTTACTGTATTGTTTGTAGGTTGAGTATACTGTATATCCCATGTTTATATTGTTTTAGATTTCATTTTTTAAATGAATAGGTATAAAAAAAGTTCAATTTTTATCATTTCAGGACTCAAACTGCAAGCTTTTATTAAAGCCATCAGCCTCAGACACTAATGTAACGTTGGGTACTGCTTTCTTCAATGATCACTCATTTTGTCTGAACTACGAAGAGAAGCTACTTCACTTTATTGAACCTGTACTTCATTAGTTGTCATAAGAAAATAAAAAATTGAAGATAGATTGAAGTCTACCCTACCCTACTATACTTTACCTTACCCTACCTTACCCTACCCTACCATACATAATAAAGTTATGTCATAGCAGAGTCGTAAATTTCTCTACCATACCCCCTTATTCTGCCGTTCTCTACCTTTGTCTGAATTTTGTTCTACCTTTGCCGTACAGTTGTTCTAACTTCGGAATGCTTTTGTCCTATCAATTTCAAAAAAGCTCCAGCCATGCCCAAACTTAACATATAAAAATCTATAGTGTCTCCCCTCTACAGTAACTTTGTCTACTCTCTTGTATATGCCTGGCTCTTCTTTAAAGTTCTTTACTGTATTCTTTTCTATACTGCTCAAAAATTACCCTGCCCTATCCTACCCTACCTTACTCTGCTCAAAGCTTCCATATAGTACCCTAACACAGTAACTTCATTGCTCTTACTTGAGTTACCTAGAGTTTTCTTTTCTACCTTACCGTACCCTACCCTACAATACGTATCCTAACCTACCCTACAGTACCATACCCTACCCTACCCTACTCAAAACCTGCCTATACCTAATACCAACCTTCTACTGTACTTTACTTTACATTCCCATCTCCATAACCCATTCCACTCGTTCCCGACAAACATTGCGCTGACAGTAAAATGTAACATAATTTAAGTAACAAATTAGCCATGCCCACCACAAATCTTCCCACGAATCATACATAATCAGCGGCGTGCAAGCTATCATAATCATGACACGCGAACATTCGGCCCAACGTTCTGGCCGTTTTAATTTTAAATCAGAGGGGTGGCAGACAGACTTTAGGGCATTTGTCTTCGTTTTTGGGCATTGTCATCGATTTCTTAAGGTGGGATTTGTAAATTTCGAAATTTTAAAATCCTCATTTCGAACATTTTTTAAAATTTCAAAATTTTATTCGAAATTTTTCCCTGCCCCGCTCAGAATCAGCTCAAAATTTTTATATGAATTCTTTGTAATAGTACCTATAAAAATACTCAGCTTGCGGTTTTAAGCTTTAAATTTAATATATTTAAATTTCCCGCCAATTCGGCAAATTTAGCATTGTGCTTCAAGCACTTTTTTCGACTTTCCAGACAAGCTACCGTTACAAGTTTAAAAATGTAGGTCCATTTAAAGGTATTCCTCTATTATAACAAAAAAAATTTAAAAAATCAAAAAATGCCAAAGTTATAAGGTTGAAACACAATGCCAACTTGGTGGGAAATTCAAAACGTAATTTTTTGCTCTGGAGTTTCTTGAGATTTACTGGAAAGCGCAATTTAGCACTTTTCTGTACTTTTATAGTATAAAAAATGTCACTTTTTGATACCAAAACAGGTTTCATCGTATAAAATGTCACTTTTAATACCAAAACATATTTCATCGTATACAATGTCATATATTTTCAGAAAATGTCATCAAAGTCGAGTCCAGTGATATCATCGTCATCCTCGATACGACTACTCAATTCCCCTAAAATACGACGAATAAATTCGACAATAAGTCGACTCAAAGAGAAACGACGTCAGAAAAGTACGTTTTTTAAGTTTACAGTAACATTCTATACGATGAACATGTTTTTGGTACTAAAAGTGACATCTTATACGATGCAAAATGTTTTGGTCCTGATAGCAACATGTTATACTATGAAACGTTTTTTTATACTAAAAGTGACATTATATTTTCTATCAAACTATCATCGATACGAGAACACAATTATTGACCCAATATCACACCAGAACAATCAAAAAAGATATGAAACGCGTTTGCAAACGATATGCCACAAGCCAAACTATCAACCTTTATATAATACAAAAGTCTATCAAGCGATATGACACTAAACCAATATCCAGGTAAAACTCGGCCGAATATCAACAAAATTGACAATCAAGACGAATCATACTCCATGTCCTCTGACTGCAGATAAAACGAAAAGTCTTCACATTGGCTGCTGACCTGCCTCCAGCGCGAATCTCCATATCTAGCCATTATTACCTCTTTCGGCAGCTTCTTGCCCTTCTTTGACTTCTTCTCCTCTTCACGAGTATCCACATCGGAAAGTTGTGGCAGCTCTGGAGCTCGACGTTGCTCTTCGAACGTGGAATCGTCATCTTCTCCATTAAAGTACTTCTTCTTCTCCTTGATCGCATTCTGCATCGGGCTTTGTTTCGCGCTGTACTTCATCTTCTTTTCAAAGTTGGAGTTCTTGGCGGTTGAGGCATTCGAAGAGGCGTCATTCAATGAGGATTTGGGCTGTCTTTCCGACTTCTTTTTGTTACCTAAACATCAAACAATAATAAAAAAATCAAAAACTCACCATTCTTCTTGTTCTTCACACCTTTTTCAGTTTCTTCGTCCAATTCCACGTCCACGTCGTCCGACACCTTCTTCCTGCTTCCATCCTTATTCTTTTGTTGATCATCTTCCGATCGCGCTTTCTCGCCACTTCCTCTCGACTTTGGCTTCGGTCTTATTGGTCCACTCTCATCTTTGTAATCCTTATTCTCCACGTTGAGGAAATTGTCACTGTCGTGCTTTCTCGCAAAGGTTTCGGCGGACTTGCTCGGTAGACCTCGTTGGAGTTTCTGGCGCTAAAACAATATGATTTACTATGGAAAACTTTCTTTTATGAACAAAAAAATTTTAAAATAACAATATGAATCTAAACAGTCAAAAAGTTGTCCAAAAAAACCTAAAAATAGAGCAAACAAGGGTCAAAATTTATATTACACTAGACAAATTTGGTCTACCCTTCAACAAATGACAGAGAATTGGGTTAAATACCAAAATCTATATTAAAAATAAACACAAAAACAATTTCAACCAATTTCAACCAAAACCAGCCAAATTTGAATAGTTTTAATTAGTAAAACATCAAAATTTATATTACACTAGATTAATCTGGTCTGAAATCCTTTTTCCTTCAAAAAATGAATGAAAAAGTGGGATACATAGCTAAATTGTTACTTAAAAATAAATGAGAGACAGTTTTAAATATATTTCAATCAAAATCAACCTAATTTTAGTAGCTTTAAGCAGTAAAACCACAAAGCAACAAGTTCTCTCCCATCAGTGCCTGGCCGTGTATTTCTCGAAAAAAGAGATCAAGTATTGTTGCGCCCGGACTTGCGAGGACCAACTGATGCAAATATGATTTTTATGTATAGAATGTGGTAAAATACGATATGTTTACGTATTATTTTTTGAACTAAAATAATTTTTGAATTTTCAAAACCAAAAATTTTAATTTTTGTCGTAGTAGCTTATCCTCCTCTATATCGACCTACATTACTGCCAAAACTAAACTCACGCTACTGCTCACATTGTTTTCGATACTCTTAGTCAACTTGACGCTCATGTCAGCCAATGGATCTCGAGTTTCTTCGGCCGTCATGAACTTGGGGAGTTCTGGCTTCAAGACCGGTCTAGCGTATGGCTTCTGGACTGGTTTGGGTTGGTTCGGTGCCATCGGATGAATGTTTGGAGTTAAGGCATTTGATAAAATCGCTGATTTGGCCTTTTTCATTTCGTTACTCAGGTTTTTGACACAAGAAATGTAGACGATCAGTTGGATTAGAAAGGCCAATAGTAGGATTACACATACGCCGCCCAAGGAGATTGTGATCGCTGAAACAGAGCAATGGCAAGAACTTTCTTTACACAACAAAAAATGACAAAATTTCTTTACGAAACAAAAAATGGCGAGAACTTTCTTTAAAAAACAAAATATAACAAAACTTACTCAACTCATCGCTATCATTTGCTGTAGTCGTCTCGTAACCTGTCATAGTAACGGTTTTTTCCGTTTCAGAAGCGTACGTTTCCGACATACCGACCGCGCCGTAACTTTGCTAAATGAAATGTGAAATGAAATTTCGATTTTTGAATTGATTCGAAATGTTGGTAAATTACTTTTTGCAAAATTTGAATAAAATATAAAAATGAAACTTGGTAAAAAACAAAAAAAAAGAATTTTAAAGTTTTCATCGTATAACTTGTTACTCGCAGGCTGCAAGAGTTTAAAAATGAAAGGTTTTTATGTAGGCTTAGAATTAGCAGACTCTTGCTTAGTAAACTTAGAATTAGCAGACTTAAGTTTACATTGTTTAGGCTTAGAAAGCACAGGTTTAGTAGGCTTAGGCTTAATAAATTTAGGCTTAATAGGCTTATTGTCAGGTATATAATTATAATAATAATTCCAGAAGAACTAGTCGGCTTCATAGTGGGTTTGTTGATGAATATAATCGGCTCCGCAATGGGCTGGCTCCGCTGCGAAATCGACCAGAAAATGGTCGATGTTCAGATCGACAAGAAGCTTGAGGAATACGGTAACATTTTACAAAATTAAGCCCTAGCTCTAGCCCAGAGCCCTCGCCTAGAATCCTAGCCCAGAGGCCTAGCCCAGAGCCCTAGCCCAGAGCCCTAGCCCAGAGCCCTACCCCAGAGCCCTAGCCCAGAGCCCTAGCCCAGAGCCCTAGCCCTGAGCCCTAGCGCTAGCTTTAAACTTGTATTATAGGTATCATTCCGATTGTAAAACCAAATCAAACAAATGACACTGACCCTTCAATTGACACCTTAAGTACGACAAAGCTATTGGAAGAACTAAAAGAAGCGAATAAAACCGAAAAGAGTGTAGAGAAGGAAGAGACGGAAAAGAAAAAAGAGTTCCGAGTACCATCGATTGTACTTGTCATGCTGACCACCTTTGGTAGGATCTTTAATGTGGTTGGTACTATGAAGATGTTTCAGGTGAGTTCACTTAAGTTTAGGTAACAATTTGGAATTATTGGAGCTTAAAAGATACTGTAATTTTAAATATTTTGGAAAAAAAAGTTACTGTAGGCTAGTATTATGTGCATAGACTAGAGCAAAGGCTAGGCATGAGCAAAAAAGTGGTTTAACGTATGGGCTAGAACATGGGCTAGGGCTAGAGCTAGGGCTAAGGCTAAGGCTAAGGCTAAGGCCAAGGCTAAGGCTACCATACCAGGGCCAAGACTTGAGACGGCGTTAAGGTCAGGTCTACTTTTTTCGTAAAATACGGATTTTTTTTATTCACAAAATTAAGTTAAAAACTAGCCTTAAAAATTTTTAGGCTAGTTATCATCAAAGAAATTCCATTTTTAGGCATTTACCAGCTACATCTCAGCTAGACGACGTAAGAACTTGAGAACAACCACCGAGAGATTGAGTGGTGGAGAAGGTGAAGGTGAATGGAGCGAGGCCATGATGGAGTGTTGTACTCTATGTGCTGCTTAGAATAGTAAAACTTATCACAAATTTTCATTTTCAAATTGAAAAAAATTAAAAAATTATTTTTGAACTTAATATCTGTTAAAAAATGATACAAAATGGGCTAAAATGCTCTTTTTTCAGCATTTTATGCCATTTTAAACGTTATATTGTCTAAAATACGGTTATAATAAACTTTCTTACCATAGTAATCAACCTAACATTGCATTTTACATCCAAAAACAAAAGTTTAATACCCGTTTATTGATTATCATGGTAGTTATCAACAATATGGCATGGATAATATAATTAGTCCTATTGTCATGACCAAACAGTACAATGTGTACCATCTTAACAAAATACGTCTATTATGACATTCTTTATCGTTTATGTTACCCAAAAATAATTTTTTTTGAGAAAATGTCAATCATAAATGGCAGAAAAGTAGGGGTTAAATTCTCTTCAAAGTAGGTCTTAAACTTTGACGCGCCATTCTTTTTGCATCAACTAAAAAATTAAAATTCAAAGTGCTGATGGTACAAAATAGCACTACGCACTATCACAGCCATTAATTCCGATGTCGGGCATTGAATGACGGTACTTGGAGGCTTTTCTCGGTACTTTTAACGAGTTTCGACGATCTTCGAACAGGTCGAACTCTAGCTGTTGATCAAGATGAGGGGGGCCTAGTTGGAAATAGCCTATTCTGGTGTACCTAAAACATTTATAAGTAAAAAACTTTAAATACACCACCCTACCCTACCTTCCCTACCACCTTACAGTAATACCTACCTATAGATCAGGTCCATCCAACATCCAGCCACAGTAAAAGCGTACAAGTAATCGGCCGGGTAGATGATTTGAGTAACAATCATACTCATCAATGTCACCGCACTAAAACCAAACTCCTTCTCATGCCCAATCTGATACTTGATGATGGTGGTCTCGAAGTAGGTTAGGCCAAAGTTGACAACATTGGCCATAAAAGAGGCTATGGCAATACTTGGCAAAAACCGCCGACTCGACCGAATGTCACGATTACTCAACGCCAAAATACGTCGCAATGACATGAATTGGAGCCATTGGGAGCCCTGAAACACGTTTTTTTTAATTTTTTAAAATTTTTGAAATTTGAAGAATTTTTGAAAATTTTTAAATTTCAAAATTTTAAGCTGAAATTCAATTTTAAAATCATTTTAAACCTATTTTGCCCTAAGGCGATCCCTATTTTATACAAAAGGGCTCACCGTGGCGAGATGGCCGAGTGGTCTAAGGCGCTGGTTTTAGGCACCAGTCTCCCCGGAGGCGTGGGTTCGAATCCCACTCTCGTCAAGAGCACTTTTTCACCTTTTCTATTTATTTTTTTTAATTTTTAGGTGATAAAAACAATAAAAATATCGCAAAAATGTTAAAGAAGATCATTTTTGTTTAACATAAAGCCTGATGAAAGCTTATAATAAGCAAAAATGACTCACAGTAGTGGTTAGAAGCCCAAAAACCTTCATAATGAAGCCAGTTTTCATTAAAAATCCGTCGTTTTTCTGGTAATCCATCTCCACAACTTGTAGAACAAACTTGATAGTCAATAAGATGCAACATCCGAGTATTAGGACAACATCGCCTCGAGCTTCAGCCTTGTGATAGGCGTCGAAGCGACGTTCTTCCACTTTGGCCGCCCAGTGAAATACCTAAATGTCATATTTTATTGACCTTAATTCAAAATTTCAAGATTTTTTTAAACATTTTCGTATCTAGAAATGACAAATTTTTGCTTTATTAATCATAAAAAGTCTAAAAAGCTAGTTGTAACAGAACGCCAAAATTGGCGGAAAAATTGAAATTTGAATTTATGTTGCAAAAAAGCGCTTTAAAACGACCAAAAACAAAAAGAAAATGTTAATTTTTAGCTTAAAACCTATAGAAAGCCATAAAACACCCTTGCAACAGAATGCCAAATTTGGCGGTAAAATCAAAATTTGAATTTTTTCCCAAAAACACGTTTCAAATCATATAAATATCCAAATACTTACCATAGCATGAAAAATAACCTGAATGATCCCAACCCCCACTTGGACATAGTAATCGACCATCCAACCTTGTGAATGCAGAGTGTCAAACAATATAGTGTAGTAAAACCGGACAAACCATTGTATCACAACAAATATACCGGATATCCACGCCGCTACTATCAGCAAACTTTGAAGTAATGGCGATGTAAATAGGGGTGGCATTGGAAGTTTCTTGGTTCGGCCGCCCACGACTCGAGATATGTCTGTTATGAAGCGTTGTAGTACCCGGCGGACGCTCTTTTTTTGCTGAAAGTACAGTAATAAGTACTTTAAAATGCTTTAATTTTTTGTAAAATACGCACAGCTTTATTTCTCTGACAAAAAAATAAAAATTTAAGGAAAAATTTACCCTCTGGCGTCGAATCAAATCCTCCGCCCGTTCCTCAGCGCCGCCACAAACTAGCCAATGTGCCACCAATACCACTGGGAAGAATTCAGAAGCACATGCTGTAACAGCCGAGCTCAACAGCCCTTTGTTCAAGTAGTACCATACTTGACGAGTACCAGCCAACTGAGAGGTGTTACAAACATATTGACGTTGAACGCCTGGACACCACATTGAACCGTTCAGCTCTTTTCGTTGGCATAACGTCTGAAATCTTGTGGTAAAAATCGAGCAAGTTTGAAAATGTGAAACAATATCATTTTTAAATTATATTTTGTCAGTTTAGTAGAGTTTTGACGAAAAAACAGGCAAACACCTCATAGTGATTTGGGTCCCACAACGAAAAACTTATTTTAGTCTAAAAAACGTTTATTTGAGTTTTTTAAATTTTTTGAAATGAATATAATATTTTATGGAATTATTAATACCAAAAATATTGTTTTTAAAAAAATTTCATCTAAAAACGTCATAGTGACTTAGGTCCCAAAACGAAAATACATTTTTGTTCATAAATAAATTCTTTTTATTTTTTGTAAATACAAATAAATAAAATATGCTATTTTAAACTATTTTTGACAACTTGTATCACATTTAAACAGTAAATTGACAAAACACGTCAATGTAGGTCCCACAACGAAAACAATAAAACGCTTTTTTTTATTTTTTTTTCAAATAAAGTAATTTTTACAGCCAACTTATCTAAAAAATCAATTTTAAAATAAAAAATCAAATAAATTTGTATTTTTTTTTCAAAACCTCAAAATATATTGTAGTAGGCCCACCTGATGGCTCAAGTACCCTTTGTTGACCACCACCTGTAACCATACAATGTAAACGGCAGCGTTGATCCATAAACGTCGTAACTGATCCATTTTCTGGTTTAATGTTCCGTAATAAGATCGTTGCATTAGGTAGACAAAGCTGAGAATGCAAAACCAGATCATAGTCACATCGTATATGATCTCCAACCAAACTTCTTGAGGATCGTGAGCGTCTACCAGCTCGTCACAGTCCTGAATTGAGGATATGAGTAGGAGTAGAGGTAATATTGGATAAGGACAGAGGTAAGGTAGGGGTAGGGGTGAGAAAAGAACCGGCCTTGAGCTAAATTTAAGACGGGCCGGGCTGAAAAATCAAGATCCGAAAAGCCAGGCCCGTCTGCACGTAAAAAAATCGACCCGGCCGGCCTGAGGTAAAAATGAAAACGAGCTAAGCTTGAAAAGTGGGCCCGGCTAGTTTTTCATTCCTTGTTAAGAATAGGGCTAGGGGCTAGTCTATGGCTTTGGGCTAAAGTTGCGGGATAGAACTCTGGGCTAGGGCTCTGGGCTAACGCTCTGAGCTAGGCAAACTCAAGCTAACCCAAGGTAAAATAAAACTAAATTTTATAAAAGTTACAGTAAGACTTACCTGAAAAGTCAGGTTGAAGACCACGAAGTAAGCGTAGCCCAGTACAATGCCTACAGTAAGCATTAAGCCACTGAACAACATTGGGCGTGGTACGGTATGCGGACGGTACAATTTTGCCACATTGCACCTGGCAAACCACATGAATTCGGCCATTACTATGGTTGTTATGAGCATTATCACCGATACCACCTATAAAGAATGGCATTGAAAAATTCTTAAAATTTAAAAAAAAATTTTAAATTTTGAAAATTTAGCTAAAATAACTACGCCCGCCAACACCCATACCCCACCTTACCCTGCCCAACCTTACCCTACTACAAAATTCTCCTACAGTACCCCCATAGTACCATAACTTTCCTTTCCACACCCCAACCCTACCGCAACATACCAACTGATACAGTCGAAGATAGAATATCGTATCCACCCGATTCAACAGCACATACACGTTCATACATAGTGCAATAGATACCACAAAGTATATCAACCATACTCCCAACATACGATCACTGCTGTTGTTACAGTATACCCGGGTCTTCTTCTTTAGCCGACTACAGAACTCGTCATCCTTGTCGATATGATGCAGTGGGCCCAGTTCGCTTTTGAACTCGGCCTTGAACACCGCCTTTCGTTCGTTCATTCAGTTTTTGTGCTGAAAATTCGAAACTTAAAAAATTTTAAATTTTTTGAAATTTTTTAAAAAATCGAAAAATTGTAAAATACGACGAACATTGATAAAATTGAGTAAAATGCATTTCTTAAAAACTTACATCTATCTTAAAGAACCCCCCCCATCCTGTTATAGCCAGTGTTTTGCCCGGACCGGTCCAGAGTGTTATCACCAGTCCGGTCCGGCGATTTTCGGATCCGGTCCAAACAACAAATTTTTCGAAAAAAGTTTTGTTTTAGTCCGTCTGGTCCCGTCCCGACTGAACCCGTCAGCGGACCGGTCCAACAAAACACTGCTTATAGCAAAGAATATTAACCCTATAAAAGAAGTGTTGCATCTTATTTTAGTTACCATTTCAAAAAAATAGTCGGTAGTTTAATACCTAAATTTAGGTTAAAAGCGAGGTATTTTTTTTCAAAGCACAAAATTGATCCAAAAACCTGAAAAATTAGTGTAAAATACGAAAAAATAATTAAAGATAAAAAATCAGTTTTGCGACACATTAACGATTTAAAAATTAAAAAAAATAAGGTTTATAACATTTGAAACCATAAAATATCCGAAATGCTTTTGACGTCTATTTGGAATATCAATAGAGCGTCTCAAGATGTAAAGTGTTTGTTTATAACATGTTTAAACGTTTTTCAAACACCTACGTGCTGCTTAGCACGTGTTTGAAAAGCCACAAAACGTCCTCGCCAAACTACAATAACATACCCTACCCTACCCTACCCTACCCTACCCTACCCTACCCTATCCTACCCTACCCTACCCTACCCTACCCTACCCTACCCTACCCTACCCTACCCTACCCTACCCTACCCTACATTACCTTACCCTACCCAGCCCAACCTTTCCCTACATTATTCTACCGTACTCTGTCGTACTCCACTTTACTCTACCTCACCCTACACCACCCTAATTTTACCTTACTCTACCATATAAAAACCTACCCTGCCTTTAAAAATCCACTTCCCTTCCTCCGCCTCCATAAAAAATTTATTCTGCCCAAAAAGTCACACTAAAAATCCCGCCCTGTCTAAAAACTACCTTGCATTGAAAAATCCGCCCTACCCTAGCCTAAATTAACATGCCATATCTAATTTTTTTAGCGAAGCCGTACCATAAAATTAAAATTTCGAAAAGAAATTTTTTTACAAAGTACTATAATATAAATTTTGTGTACAGCCAAACGTACACAACGAAAAACCCGGAATGGAAATGAAAAGACAAAAAATGAAATAAAATTTACTTAAAATTGGATTTGTTCCCAAAGACTATCAAATATCCCGTGTGCGTAGGCCATAGGTTAATCAGGGTTTTGTAGGAGACAAAGGACAACAACACAGCCAATTTTTATGCAAAAACGCCATAACCCTGCCTTAGTCTGACAGTAACAATGCCTAAGCCTTAGCTTATATCTCCGTCTTAATCTTAGACTTAGCCCTAGCTACAGGGCTAGCCCTAGATCTAAACCTTGACAAGCCCTACTAGTCTCAAACCTTACCCCAGCTGTAGCCCCAGAAATAACTCAACTAGAGCTAAAACCTCAGGCCAATCCAGCCTAGCCCCCTCAAATTAGCCAAAAACCTCAGACTAACCCAGCCCTAGTCTTAGTCCAAGCCAAACAAAACCTCAGCTCAGTTCAGTCCATTTCACTCCTGCCCAAACCTGGTCCCAGCCCTAGCTATAGACCTAGCTTAAGCCTCAGCCTAATCCAAGCCACAACTTAGCCTAAACTCCGACAATCCTAAGCCAACTCCAGCACAAAACTCAGTCCAGCCCTAGCTATAGACCTAGCTTAAGCCTAGCTCAAGCCTCAGCTTAGCCCAAGCCCCAGCCTATTTCAGTCCAGCCCTAGCTATAGACCTAGCTTAAGCCTAGCTCAAGCCTCAGCTTAGCCCAAGCCTCAGCCCATTTCAGTCAGGCCCTAGCTATAGACCTAGCTTTAGCCCAGCTCAAGCCTCAGCTTAGCCCAAGCCTCAGCCTATTTCAGTCCAGCCCTAGCTAAAGACCTAGCTTAAGCCCAGCTCAAGCCTCAGCTTAGCCCAAGCCTTAACCTAGCTCTCGCTTCATCCCAGCTCGTGTCTACCCAAGCATTGATCCTAGCCACTAGCCTAGACTCTTTTAGCCTGTCCGTAGACTAACTTTCTACCGATTTACCTACTGTATTTTTTCGTATATTGTCTATGGCAAAAATTAAGCATTCAAAACAAAAAAGAAAGTGCCAAAATGAGCTCAAAAGCAATGTTTACACACTCAAAAGTATTTGTTTCAATAAAACCTAAAACTAAAAATAGCCTTAATCAAATGTTTTATGTAAATGAAGTCTAATTTTAAAACAATTTTAAAGCAAACTTAAGGCTAATTTTGACAACTTTTTTACATATTTTACGTAACAGACATGTGACTGAAGAAAATTACCATAAAATTAAAAGTCTATTTAAAGTTGCTAGGAAAACCAAGACTTTAAAGGTTTTATAAAAACTACAGTATCCCTTAGTTAAGTGTTTTTCTGCCTCAAATCTCATGCTATAGCATTAACTTCCGTATTAGCCCTAGCCTTTTCTTTTCTTGCCGCAGCCTTAGTCTTGACCCTAGCATCAGCCCTAGCCTCAGCCCTAGCCTCAGCCCTAGCCTCAGCCCTAGCCTCAGCCCTAGCCTCATCCCTAGCCTCAGCCCTAGCCTTAGTCTTAGTCATAGCCTTAGTCATAGCCATAAACTTAGCCTTAGCGTTAGCCTTAGCCCTAACCGTAACCCTGGCCAGAGCGCTAGCTCTTTTGTCGGTTAGCCAATTTTTTAGTCTTTACCTAACCATGCCCTTGCAAAACCAGACACTTTTCTAGCCCTACCTTAACCCAATCCCCCTGATTTTCAAAATTTTACCTTCCCCACCCTCTCATCCTTACCCCCACACCCCTTCCATTACTCGTAAATTCTTCAAAAACTAAAAACCCACTCAACCCAATCCGCCTCCAAAAACAACAATAACACGTCTATACACTTGCAAAATACCCCATCCGCCTCTTCCTCAGCCCCAACCTAAAGTTTGTAAAAACACAAAAACTTCCTCTCCACCCAACAACACCCCCAAACAACATAGTCATACCCAGAAGGCCTACGTCGTCGCTGACATCAAAGGAAATGGGGAAAATATGCAAAAAAAACGTAGCCGATTCCCACCGCCCTCCCCGAGGACCCGATCACCAACCTTTTTTTCTCACTCAAACAGACAAAGTAAAACAAATTTACAAGTGTAGAGCCGAGGCCAAGTGTAATTCGTTTAGAGTGTTCGGCGTTGAGTGTTTTTCCGGAAATTATTCCAAATTCAACGTCGGAACCACAAAAAATTATACCGGTCTACGTGGGGAGGGAGGGGAGGGGGGATAGTTGAAGGTTGAACCCCAAAAAAAGGTATCCAATAGGTAATCCTACATCTAAAGTTCCCACAGAGCTCACTGACATATTATAAACAAAAAACATAAGATGTACACAAAAGAACAAACTTGTGTCCAATAGCAAATTTGATCTATGAAAACCTACATTTTTGAAATTTTGAACTTTTATAACATAAAAAGATATCAACTTCAAGATTTTGAAAAAATAATGTACTGCCAAACCCCATCCTATCCTAAAAGCTAAAAAATTTGCCACATATCCAGTAATTTTTTCAATGTCAGTTTATATCGAATGTAGCGACAAAAAACAAAGAACGGCGACAATAAAAACGGCCACAAAGTTTTATTGGCATCTGAGAATTAATAAAATATCAACTGGTTGATATTAAAAAACATAACAGAAGCATACACATAAGGAGAGAATTTGGCCCATAGATCTACCCTACCCTGCCCTGCCCTGCCCTGCCTTGCCCTGCCCTGCCCTGCCCTGCCCTGCCCTGCCCTGCCCTGCCCTGCCCTGCCCTGCCCTGCCCTGCCCTGCCCTGCCCTGCCCTGCCCTACCCTACCCTACCTTACCTTACCCTTTATCAAAAAAACCTTTACCATAAAGCTAACACTGCCTAAAAAATTACACATTCTCTAAAATTACCCCTCCATACTCCTTTAAATAAATACCAACCAAATAAACAGTACCTTAATTAAATATCCCTCCCCCGCCCACACTAATTTCACCAACCCCAAAAGCTCAACCTTTCGTCCGTTTGGCTTTGCCTACCTGTATCCCTCACCCTAGCCCCTCCTACCTATTCAATCTCGCCTCCTTTTTTATTCGTCCCCTAGTTGGTTTTTTTACCATGCCCTACTTATAAATTTCCTCTGCCATTCCCGCAAATTTACCTTACACAGATACCATACACAAAAGATTGCCCTAGCCTTAGCTTCAGACATAGCTCTAGCAATAGACCTAGCCCCACCTCTAAACCCAGCCCAACCCACAGCCACAACCCTGGAACTAGCTCAAAACCTAACGCAAGCCCCATTCCAAGACCAAATCTAAGACCAAGTCCAACCCGAATTTCTTTGGCTTAACCTTAGCCCTAGAGCTAACTCTAGCGCTAAACCAAGTCAAACATAGTCACAGCCTTAGCTCAAGTCCTATCGCAAGCCCAATTCCAAGTCTTTCCAAATCCAAGCCTAATAGTAAGGTTAAGCCCGAGCCCAAGCCTAAGCCCAAGGCCAAGACCAAGTCCAAGTCCAAGTCCAAGTAAAAGCCCAAGTCCAAGTCCAAGTTCAAGCCCAAGCCCAAGCCCGAGCCCAAGCCTGGTAATAGCACTAGCCAAAAGGGAAATATCAGAAGTCCTTACAACGCATAAAAACATAAAAATCAAAATTTCAAAAAAATTTTTAAAAAATTTGCAAAACATATAAGTATCATATGTCATATTTCACTACAGTTTAATGTCACGTCGCGCTTAAAAACTCAAAAAATGAGGACTTAAAGGAAGGGCGGTCATAACCATGAGAAAGTGAACAAACATTTGCCGAATAAATTTTAAAAGTGCCAAACTCTAT